TCGTCTCCTTTGCTTTGTTTTAAGAAACAAAAAATCCTCACGCCGCATGTGCAAAGAACAGACAGGAGCAGCCTGTTCGATGAGCACCATTTAACTCATTCTTATTTCCAGTGCTGTGTGACGATCTTTTATGGATCCATGAGAATGCAGTTACCGGAGACTGGCACTTTTGGTGTGCAGTGTTTGAGTGTAGGGGCTTGCTCAGTGTCAATCAGCTGAAGTCTTGTGTTTTTTTTTTTTTTTTTTGTTGTTTTTATGTGTGCCATATTTCCGTAAAAGCAAATAGTTTACGTTCAGGTAACAAATGCAGGGAAAAACGAAATGATCCGTATGATGGAAAAACGGGTGAACGCTGTAATAAAGAATAAGGAAGAGCTGATGAGGGAGAAAGCCGATCGTGCCAGAAGGTCAGTCGAAATAGCTGTTTTTTCCGCTGGCCCACTTGTATTATGAAAGGGATTGTACTTGTAAAATAATTAACTATCCCTTTTAAAAAATTTCGTTTGAGTAAGTTGGTTTCGGACCACCTTTTTTTAATGCTTTTTGCATATTTAAGTAAGTGTAGAAACGCATATTGTAACGATTTATGGTGTGTGTATGTTTGTTTGTTTGTGTGGGTAATCGCCAGTCTGTCTGTCTACCTCGATATTTCAAATGGGCAACCGGCTAAGCTTTGATGCTGAAATTTCTTTCAGTGGACCCTCTGACCAAACTCTTTTCCAGAAACATGGTGCCAACTTTCAAGCATGCTTGAGCCTCACTTTCGGACAGATGAGGTTTGGCAGGAAAATTGCTAATTGGTGAACTAGAAAGGCTGGAAAGCTAAATTTTAAGGGAATGTTTTCCCTCCATACACAACGAAAAGATACCAAATTCAGTTCGCAAGCACTCTTGGTTCTCAAGTACGGATACGTAATAATTTTGGCAGAAAAATTGCTAACTCGGAAAGCAAATAAGCAGGAAGCTCAAATTTTGGGAAGATGTCCTCTGTTCACGTGCGATCTAAAGATTTCAAATCTTTTCCTTTTCAGTTCCTATGTACTTCTGGCTCCCACGTATGATTACGTGAAAACTGTGGTGGGAAAATTACGTGCAAATTGCGGTGGGAAGATTTGTAGTTCAGGAGACAGATGAGTTGGGTCATCTTCAATGGGCGATCGGTTACCGGAAATTGTTATGCGTTTTCTGCAACTATGCAATGCAGAAAACGCATACTGACGAGAGGTTGT